ATCTATTTACAAATATGTTTGCATATTTGCTTCCATTGAGCCAGATTCTTAAACATACATTTTAATCTAATAAATCTCTCTATTCTGTGGTTTACTTTCCTTATCAGTGGCACATTATTATGGCAGTCAGTTTTCCAAATACATTTGTTGAACCAGGAAGTGCTGTCACTTCCTCCTATCAGGCAGTTTGGGATGATTGTACATCATTAATCAAATTAGTATTATCCTTACAAGAGCTAATCTATTTTAGCAGGTTTGGGGTTGGGGTCAGTTATTATTCTACAATGGTGTTTGATTCTCTAATCTGTGCTGGAAACTTCTCAATATCTAAATGTCTACTTATTTGTTTTTGTGCTATACCCAAATGCATCAAAATGCTTTTAAATGCTTTTGAATCTCTGTTGGTTCTAATCTATCTCATTGATCTACTGTAGGCATTAATCTAGACTACACTCATATGAACTTTTTGTATTGTCAACATTCACAGATGTTTGAACACAAGTGAATTTGGCAAGTATCTAATAAAACTGTACATAAAACTGTAAGTAACTTTATCTACTTTTGAAGCAAAGGTTTGTGGAATGGTCCCTTTACCATTTGATATTACCAATGGCTAGAAATATTCGGCACGGTGGCTGAGTGGATAGCACTCTCGCCTCTCAGCAAGAAGGTCCTGGGTTCGAATCCCGGTCGGACCAGGGCCTTTCTGAGTGGAGTTCGCATGTTCTCCCCGTGTCTGCGTAGGTTTCCTCCGGGTACTCCGGTTTCCCCTACCACTAAAAATATGTCCAATAGTTCTGGCATGCGCCTTGTGTACTGGCGACCCCGCTCCCATCTCTGTGTGGAGTGGGAGACAAATGCCCAAAAATTAACAATTGTAAACCGCTTTGAGACTCAAATTTGCAGTGAAAAGGCGGTATATAAATAAAGATTACTTAATATTCTCTATTTTTGAAAGCATCTATGGTTGATGCATTTATCTATTCCTATTTTTACTCTATTGTGACTCTAAAGCTCGGTTGCAGCTTGAGCAAAGGCATATTCCTAGTTTGTAACTTCTGTTACTTTTAATATCTCTAAAATAACTCTGATTCTAATATTATATCTGCTCTATCAGAGATAACATTGTATGATACTATTTTAACTCTTATGTGGAAATGTGTTTATGAACAACAAAGGAAGGACAATTCTACTTTTTTACTACTATTAAAACGCTACAATACTCATACTTTATCATTTTTAAAACATTTTAACTGTTGCTCAGTCTCCCAGACTAAAAAGTCAAAGTTTTGTCTGTCTGATGTCTGAATACTTAACATTTATCGCATTTCGTCACAGTTGTGGTTCTGGTTGTAGCAAGAGCATCGGCAATAGACGGTTTTTTCATTGGCTGGTTCTTGTTCTGCAAATGTCTGTGTCCAATAGATCATCAGATGTCCAGAAGCTAGGGACAAACAAAAACAAAAGAAAGAATCATGAGTATCTCTCTCATTTAGCACTCATCAATGTATGATTTTAAAAATATAAACATCACTCCCCAGTTTTCTCTCTCAGATCCTCAGATCCTCAGGTCCTCAGGGTCCTCAGGGTCCTCAGGTCCTCAGGGTCCTCAGGTCCCCTGAGGGTGAGTCTCAGTCGTCATCAGGTCAGGTCATATTTCGAGAGATGTTATCTTGGACATCAGTAGGGTCCAAGCCATGGTTTTGGTCTCTCCAGATGCACTCAGGTACTTGGGTTGCTCTGGTCTCTCCAGTTGGACATCAGGATCTCCAGATACAGTCTTTTCACTTGAAGCACATCAGGTCATTTGCGATGCACTTCTGGTCAATGGTGCAGTGTCACAGTTCCTGTACACAGCTTGTTATGCAATAGTTACTCTCTATGGTTAAGTCACTTTGATTCTAATCCTAATCAATGTAATTACTTCACACGGTACAAAATCAAAACATAAAAAGTGTCAGGACAGACGTCAATTAAAGCAGCAGTAAGCGATTTTTGGGTGTTAATATACGTCTTAAATATTGATATATTCCAATAGCCATCACTTATATAGAGTGTTTGTACCTAAACACGGATCTCTCAGTCTTTCCAGTCTTCTCCCACCTATATAATAAAAAAACCTCACATCCTATGCGCTTATCCAATGACGAGAGAGCACGCCTTATAAGGGGTTTCTCCCGTGTGTGCACGCGCACTCTTCAAAACAAACATGGCGGAGAAGGAAAAGCCGCCTCGGGCGCTGCTGCAGACTAAATACCATCGATTTATTAAATACAGGCAAAACGCCAGAAACAGAGGAACGACAAAAAGTAGGAGCAACATGGTGACCAGCTGCATTCATGTTGGCGACCTCTAGCTCCGTGGATTCCTCTCTCCGACTGAACAGGTGAGCATGTTACTCAGTAGTGGCAGTAGTAGTTGTATTATTTATACATATTGTTGCCTGAGACTGTAATGCGGGTTTTCAGTAGTGTTGTATCGTTCGTGAACGATTCGTTCAAAATGAACTAATCTTTTATATGACTCGGGAGTAACGAGTCTTCTCAGGGAGCGATTCGTTCATTTTCATGCAGTACCTTCTCTCGCCACATGGCGGCAGCTGCATGAGCTCAGTCAGCAGCAGACAGGAAACAGAAATGATTCGTTCACCACTCACTCAGCTGGATCCATTCTCAGGTCCCAGTTCTTTAGTCACGTGACAGACAGGCTGTCTGTGAGCAGCAAGCACTGCAGTTCCTTCACGATTCGTTCATACGGATCCTGACGGATTGCTCTTTCGTTCATTCGTCACGTGACAGCTGTGGCTGGCTCAGACAGCTACGGGGCTGGGGGACTGTTGACTGAGAGCTGAACAAGGAAATGATTGATGTCTGATATCTACAGTTTATTTGTCATGTGACACCCGATATAGATTATTTATTCACAAAATCATAATTATAGTGGTCTTCAGTCCTTGTTGTGTTATTGTATAGCCTATATAATGAATGTGTTTGTAAATAAATACTTTAGAAAATTATATCAGCATATTTATTGTGTTATACTCTGCCACAAAATAATAAAACATAACAATGATAACAACAAACACAATAAAAATAACAATAATAGTAATAATAATAATGTCACTTTTTGGACACAATAAATGCACCATGTAAACATAGGCAATTCATCAACTATTATTTTTTGTTTTAATTGTATCATTAATTGTCAAAATTAGTTTTACATTCGCTGTCCTCTCCCCAGCTGTCATGTGATCGACTGCTCGGCCGAAAGGGTCTCTGTCTGCTTAGGCTGTGGAGCAGAGCAGTACTTGTTCTCGTTCAAATCGTTCATTTGTCACATGACTCGCGGGCTGACCGGGTCTTTCTCGTTCATCGTTCACAGCTCAGTACTTCGTTCTCGTTCGTCCAACTGGTTCCTTTGTCACATGACTCGCGGGCTGACCGGGTCTTTCTCGTTCATCGTTCATCGGTTCACAGCTCTGGCTCAGGCTGACACTGTGCGCCAGCAACATTGCTTCTCTCTGATTGGTCTGTTTTCACTGTCACGTGACAGTTACCCAGACTGCCGTGCTGTTAAACAATGATAACAGAGAGGATACAGGACACAAGTTACATTATTGTGGTGTGTGTTAGCTTTCCTGGGTTTTCAAATGGCTTGAATAGCTTATGGCATTTTGTGTGTTATACTTTGTCACCGTAAGCAAACCATCTTGTCTTCAGTATTTATAGTTGGAGAAAACACGTCGTCGGCATGAGTCCTGCATTGTGGGCCACTACAGCGCCATCTGCTGTACAAATGAACGAAATGATTCGTTCGGGACTCGTTCAATTTACTGTTCGAGAGTTAAAGAATCGAATCAGAGGAAAGAACCGGTTTTCCCATCACTAGTTTTCACCAAGTTAGCTAGTTAAAAATCCCCAGCTGTTGTAGAAATACGGCCGCATTTTGTGGCAATAACTGCGCATTACCTTGGCTTAGCTTTGAGAAACAACAACAGACAACACAACATCGAAGCCTTAGCCCAGCCTTAGTCATCCATAAACTCCGGTCAATTATTAGTTCCCCACATGTACAACATTAAATGACCATATCACCAGAGTTCCCCCGTGAAGTGCTGTTAGCATTAGCGTTCGCTGTTAGCATTAGCGTTCGCTGTTAGCATTAGCGTTCGCTGTTAGCATTAGCGTTCGCTGTTAGCATTAGCGTTCGCTGTTAGCATTAGCGTTCGCTGTTAGCATTAGCGTTCGCTGTTAGCATTAGCGTTCGCTGTTAGCATTAGCGTTCGCTGTTAGCATTAGCGTTCGCTGTTAGCATTAGCGTTCGCTGTTAGCATTAGCGTTCGCTGTTAGCATTAGCGTTCGCTGTTAGCATTAGCGTTCGCTGTTAGCATTAGCGTTCGCTGTTAGCATTAGCGTTCGCTGTTAGCATTAGCGTTCGCTGTTAGCATTAGCGTTCGCTGTTAGCATTAGCGTTCGCTGTTAGCATTAGCGTTCGCTGTTAGCATTAGCGTTCGCTGTTAGCATTAGCGTTCGCTGTTAGCATTAGCGTTCGCTGTTAGCATTAGCGTTCGCTGTTAGCATTAGCGTTCGCTGTTAGCATTAGCTGTCTGTAGTTGTGAATATGATGTGGCTGCTACAAACACTTCTAATCTGTATGAATCGTTTGTTTTTGCCAATAAACATAGTTGCTTGCACTATATATATATATATGTAGGTCTGCATTTCATTCTTCAATGACTAAGTTTTGCAACTTGCACTCTGTATATTAGTTTTATTGTTATAAAAACAATATCTCTTTACCTCAAATCTAACTTCCGTGACCACTACATACATTTTTATTATTATGTATTGAGAATAAGTAAGAAAAGTCTTGCTGACTACTACCAAATAAATTATGAGCATGATATAATAAAGACATTGTAATAATTTACATGTCTTCATTGCATTCTTTTCTCTGTATCTTTTCCAGTATGGCCTAAATCAATTGGAATGAGGTCTTCAATGTACAAGAGTTCAAAAGCCTCCATAATGCAAGTTAAATAACTATAAAAAAAAAAAAACAATGCCATAACGACTAGATACTTTTCTGCTGACCTCTTCTTTCTCTAGTATTGACTGCGAAGACAAGACTTTGCTTCCAGAATTAGAAGATCGGCCATTGTCATCTCCTGAGGAAGACTTTACACCCCACATTTGTCATGTAGGTTGTTGTGAATGCATATATGGGACGCAGTGATTATGATAATGATGTTGTGATGTGTGTGTCGTTCATCCCTACAGTTGTGTTGCTGCCCTGAGGTCCAAAATGAATATCCATCATGTTCCAGGAGTCAGTGTTGAACAAAACTGTCGCTGAGTTTCTTCAACAATCAAGAGGAGTGAGATAATCACTCGACTCCCAAAACAGCCGATGTAAGTGTCTTTCTCTCACAATGCACGGTCTCTCACAGTCCAAATAAACATGTTCAAGGATCCTGTGGATCAGGGGCCACTCCTGGTGATCAATAAATACTGATGTTGTTGATGATGAATATATCAAAGTCATATTTGAGTAGATAAAACTGATGTCTCTTCTATTATGTTTCAAAGGAAAATCTCTGCCAGAGGAAGACTCCAGTTCCTTCAACCTGGGCCCCTGAAGCGTGGCTGTGTGTGCGTGTGGCTGTGTGTGCGTGTGACTGTGTGTGCGTGTGACTGTGTGCTTGTGACTGTGTGTGCTTGTGGCTGTGTGTGCTTGTGACTGTGTGTGCTTGTGACTGTGTGTGCTTGTGACTGTGTGTGCTTGTGACTGTGTGTGCTTGTGGCTGTGTGTGCTTGTGGCTGTGTGTGACTGTGACTGTGTGTGCTTGTGACTGTGTGTGCTTGTGACTGTGTGTGCGTGGCTGCTTATGAATTATTTTGAGGAAATGTGTACAAACAAGCTACAACATAAAGATTAACATTTTGTTAGATATCTCTGATAGTGTTCGCTGCAGCAGCGATGGATAAGGACCTGAATAATAACAGTGTTATTCATTTGAGCAAAAAGTGATAACACAAACGTTGCCTTACCATCACTTGTAATTATTTGTCTTAGTAGGGACATTGTGTATATTTTTCCGGCTATAACTTCAAATCTTCTTTTACATAATAAAGTTTCTTAGACTCGTTACAGACTGTATTTGTTTTCCTACTATAAAACAAAGCACATTGAAAGAGGTGTATGTATTTTTTTTTATTTTGAAATAGTACAACTACAAACATATTTCAGAACTGCAGAGTGGACGTGCACCATGGGGGCCGCTGAGGACGTGCACCATGGGGGCCGCTGAGGACGTGCACCATGGGGGCCGCTGAGGACGTGCACCATGGGGGCCACTGAGGACGTGCACCATGGGGGCCGCTGAGGACGTGCACCATGGGGGCCGCTGAGGACGTGCACCATGGGGGCCACTGAGGACGTGCACCATGGGGGCCGCTGAGGACGTGCACCATGGGGGCCACTGAGGACGTGCACCATGGGGGCCGCTGAGGACGTGCACCATGGGGGCCGCTGAGGAAAGCACGTTTTCAATGTCTGTTGGCACCTTTCACAGACGCATCAGGGAAAGGATCTGGTCATCAGCTTCTCTGGACAGAGGGCGTTCAGTGCTTCCTGAAAGAACCGTTATGACAAATGACTTTATATATTCTGTTACTTGTAGCTTTTCTTTCAAAGTGGTGAGTTTCCTTACAGTGTAATAGTGTAACGTAATTAGTTATGACAGTACTTTTGCGTTTCGGACAAGCTTTACTGGAATTGTTTTTCAGTCCCACATCTCACTGTACAGCTCTGATACACTTAGATTTTGTCTTCATTCTCTGAACAATAAGCACATAATACAGATGTTGATTACATCAATAAATGTATCTTTATTTTGTGACATTGAGAAGGCAGCTTCCAGTGAGATGCAGCTTTACTTTCACACAATACATTACTACAGTGTTGTCTATAAAGAACTCCAAATATACAAATTGTGAGGAAATAAGTAGCAGTAATGTATTACTTTAAATAACCTTCATGTAAAGCTTTGTTGTTGTAATGTATATGCATTACATTCATCTAATACATATGCACTGTAACAGATTAACATCTGTGCATAATGTTGAGACACGTCACATTGCAATCTGCAACATTATGTTTATCACAACAGTTATCAGTGTACCAACTATAAAAGCAGTATTATTCTATAAAAGACTGGATTGTTTTTATCTCTTTCTTAGTGATGCTATCCTAGCTAACACCAAGATGCTTCCAGTGTTATAGCTAGGTTACAACTGAGCTATTCTATGCTAATATTTCACTCCCAGAGTTTGTTGTTAATATACTTACGAGTAGACCTGACGGAGATGAATCTGCTGCTGCCATCACCAAGACGATGCGCGTTCATGTGGTGTGACGAGGGGGCGGGGCTACTAACTCGCTCAGGCAGAAGAAACTGCCGGAAACGACCAAATCGCTTACTGCTGCTTTAAGTCCATGACAATATAGAATTCAAATGAACATTTCTGGTCTCAAAAAATACTGATTCAACTAAAGATTCAAGTGATAGACAATTAAAAATATGCGTTTACATTGGAGTAAACTTTTAAAATGCTTTTTTCTCATGTTCTGCTTTTTCATGTATCTATATGTAAATGTGAATGTGTGAGTGTATGTATGTGTGTGTGTAGGGTGTGAATTTTGGGGTTGTCTCCAGACTCCTTGAACCACCTGCAGGTGTCAAAGGTCACACTGTGGTGATGTAAACCAACTGGACACACTTCCAACTCTCATTCAGGTCTCTCCCTGATGCTCCACCCTCACGTCTCCAGATACCTCTCTTTCATGGCCCCGGTCTCTCTCACACCCACTCAGTTCTGCAGTGGCGTGGGGAGGGGCAAGGAGGTGGCATTTTCCTTTGCTCTTTGATCTGTGACCTGTGGCTGGGTGGGCTTTGCTGTCCAGTGTCCAGCAGTGACTTCGCGTACAGTGAGGCAGAGTCTGAAAAACAATCCTTGAGACGGCCAATTTAAAAACAACAGATACAGTATCAGTTTGTGAATGAGACTGTTTTTCTCTCTAATTCTAAACAATTTTGGAGCGCTCTGGGTTTCCAAGCGCTATGTAAATATAGATTACTTATCATCTTACTACTGATGACATTTTTAAGACCAGAAACTCTCTTAATAAAAAACAAGACTCAAATCTCAAAAAACCTTTAAACTTTAAAATATGTAATATGTACTTTTGTACTGTGTGTTTAATTATCTATGCGTTCTTGGGTTTCACTTTATGGACTTTCCCTTTTACACTTGAACATTTATCTCGGCATATATTCTACTAATTTAAAATAATTGCAGCATTTTCAAATGAAGTCAATATGAATTGGAGCACATTTTAGAGCCAGTCTCCTCTGCTGTGTGCATCAGCAGCAGGAGGAAGGTCAGGCGTGTAGTCAAAACAAAAACAAAAGTCACCACTTGAATGTGAATTGGGTGAATTGGGTACAGTTCAACTTAATAATACTAATTCCCTCTTTCTTTTTAGACGAAGTCTATAATCAATAATAACTTTTAACACAGATTCTAATTTAAATGTTTGAAAAACGGCTTTTGTAACTAAAATAAAAACATAAAAACAAACACAACTCACAAACAGTTAAGAAATAAGCAGCAGATTTAAAAGAATGGAATCTAGAAATATGTTAGATCTAAAAAGAATTGCACAGCTTTAGCACTAATCTTTGGGTTTCAAAAACATACTAATTCAAAACTTTTTTTTACTAAATGGTGTTTAAAAACGTTTAACTGTGTCATAACACAATGTTCAATGGCAAATTTCGCAAATTTTACGGAAAAACAACTATGAAAAGCCAAAATCCTAAAAGCAGTAGCTCCCCTTTAAATCAGAGCAGAAGCAGCGCAGCGAGGGCGGGGGGTTCCTTTCACACAGACGCACACACACACAGGCAGAAAGTAGTGTTTTAGAAAAAATGCAAAAACAGAAAGAAGAAGAACTTTCAAGATTACTTTTTTAAGCAAATATAACTGATGTTGTAGTTTATACTTTTGTCATCCAAGTCTAGAAATGGCCAATTTCCACACTTGTAACAAAAGGCACTCTTGTCTTTAACGTTTACGCTTCTATTTTATCGAGGTAGCAAACTAGTTTAAACTCAAAATCTCTTTCTAAAAAACAAAAACAACTGGATATACAACCCTCTCATAGCTTAACTGTAGATAAAACTCTGCATTCTCCGGTGAACTCTGTTCACGCCAAAAAACATACTAAAAACCAAAAAAAAACTCCCTTTTTCTCTCTGTAATTTAAACCGTGATCACTGAAAATATTGTTGCTTCTTTACTTTTGTCATTTATCAGCCTGAAATTCGTCAATTTCAAAGCTTTTGTAACAAAGGCCTCTTTTTCACATTTCCCTTTTTATTAAATTGCTTTTACTTTTATACCATGGTTTCACTAAGGATCCTACACTTTATCTTTTCTCAAAGGGACTCTAACCCCGAGAACGTTTTCAAATACAATTTAGAGAGTTTGACAGACCCCAAAAACAGACCAAAATTTAGCTAATATCCAATTATACAGACTTTACATATAAAAAGGTGTCTGCTTACCTTATTCTTGTCAAACCGGTACCAAGGACTGTCCGAGAGGTCTGCCAACCTCTTTTCCGCAACACACAGGACTTATTTGGTTAATGGTTAATGGTTAACTTTTATCGCAGCTCCCTGCTTATCTGAAACTAGGGCAGAAGGCACCGCTTGGACTTACATGATTCTGAACTTGAAACATTTACAAATATTATACAAAGGAATAAGTACAGTATACAAACATTTTACCACTTAAACCTACTACTCCTACTACCACCAGGTCACTACTACTACTACCAGGTCACTACTACTACTAACCACTTTTTATGTACACACATATAAATGTAATTATTGAATTTCTTACGCTAATTACTTTGACTACTTATCAAAAATAACCAGTTTTTTGAATTAACACGTTTTTTTTTTCTTCTGACGCTGAAAAAATCTCTAAAAACAGCGCATACTACAATCGTTTTTAAATTCTTCTTCTGCCGAAAAAAACTCGAAAAACGGCTTCTATCGCCCTTTTACATTCTTCTCACGCCGAAAAAGCCTGAAAACGGCGGCGATCGGTTTATAAAAAAATGCGCATATATATTTACAATTTAAACAGGAACATAAAAGAGCCAGCAGCCAACCACATTGAAACTTTTTGATGTAAAACCAATTTAACAGATTTTTTGAAAAGGCATCTGTAATTTTGAGTAGATCTACTTTGTACCTTTGTTGGTGGAGCTGTATCTTTTACGGAGACTTCTGCAAAGCCAGAGAAGATGAAACGTTGCTCCGGAGCAAAAAGGTGTTTGAAAAAATAAAAATAATAAAAATTGTCTTTGTCTTGGGCTTTTTGTAATCACGTCGGAAGGTCACCAAATTGTGAATTTACCCAGACGTAAGACCAAAATTAGACTTCGGCAAAACTGCGTATTTCAAAATAAAGTTTTATTGTCAGAAGGTTTGAGCGTATTCTGATCAAGCACAACGCAGCTTCCCGTCTGGCTCTAGCAGAAGTCTGTCGTACAATCACAGGGTGACTCCTTATATACACTGTAAATGATTAGGTAAGCATAGATTCTGGGATCGGTGCAGCGTGCGCAGTGATGCGGTCTCTGTATCGGACCGTTGTGGTAAAGAGGGAGCTGAGCCGAAAGGCGAAGCTCTCGATTTACCGGTCAATCTTCGTTCCCTCCCTCACCTATGGTCATGAGCTTTGGGTAATGACCGAAAGAACGAGATCGCGGATACAAGCGGTCGAAATGAGCTTCCTCCGCAGAGTGGCTGGGCGCTCCCTTAGAGATAGGGTGAGGAGCTCAGTCACACGGGAGGAGCTCGGAGTAGAGCCGCTGCTTCTCCACGTCGAGAGGAACCAGTTGAGGTGGCTCGGGCATCTGTTCAGGATGCCTCCTGGACGCCTCCCTGGGGAGGTGTTCCGGGCACGTCCCACCGGGAGGAGGCCCCGGGGAAGACCCAGGACACGCTGGAGGGACTATTACTAGCAAATAGTAATTAAATATTCACAGTATCTATCTATCTAGACTTAAAGTGAGGGTGGTCTGCTCATTTTACCTTTTCTGTCTGAAAGAGTTGATCTACATGCCTTTGAAAGTGACAGAATCAATCAGTTTTGAGAATAAGTTAGATGGATTTTAATACATAATTTAAATTTCTCAGTTTTGGCACCTGGTGTTCCCCTAGGTCTCTCATCATTGTTCTAACCAGGCAAAAAACTCAATCGGACAAATATAGCAGAAATAATAGGATTAAACATAACAATATACCTTTTACTATGGTAGCCCCCTGGACTTTATTATTAACATTTTTATTAAGAGGAATAACCCCTTGAGATGAAACATCTCGTTTCCGAGGGGGTCCTCAAAAGCCCCTGCAAGCCCATTGGATCACTGGCTATGGTCTTAACACCGTATCACTATACATTACTTGTAAAAAATTAAACTTAAAAAAGCTACAACCCTGTATCAAAAATAGTAAAACAAAAATTTAAAGCAAGTTCCCAAACATTAAAGACGACATATTTCTGAAGCCTGGGACTCATTATTCTTCTTCCTGTCCCATATCTTGCTGCTCCTGAGGAAGTGGGCAGAGCATTCGGAGACTAGCCCACACACAAGCTACAGTCTCATACCGTCCATTGTCTTCACTTATGACTCAAAACTAAGGAGTGACTTTGCCGGCGCTAATGCATCCCTCACCACTGCCAAAAGGGTCGCCACGAAACAGTGCAGTCTTTGAAAGGACATTACAGGAAAAATGTAAGTGGTGTTTTACAGAAAAGTCGAGCCCCAGTGGAGGGTTCCGGCCTAAACTAGACGTGGAGATAAAACCAGAGCAGATCAGATAGAGCCAGAGCCCAGGGAGACGGAGGAAGGGAAGGGCCAAAATGTCGTAAATAAAGGCCCCTGCACAAGGCCGCACCCCCTCTTTCACTCTGGCGCCGTTTGAGATCTACCACAGTACTTACTTCATTCTGAGATGTCTTCCTTGTTCGTCCGAGTTCCCTTCGCCCTCCGGCGTCGGACGTCGTCGCTGGATCCAGGCGGTGTGCTCTCTCCTGCTGTACCTGCTGAAGGCGTTTATGGACAAAAATGGCCAGTTTATTAATTATTTATATATGGTATAGATGTGGACGGCTGCTTCTATCACAGATTACTACAGACATAAAAAGACTCATAATTTTACTTTTTCATGTTTTTTATTTCAACCAATGTTCACCACGAGAAAAGAACAACATGCACACAGATGAAAAAAACTCGGAACAAAAAAATGCCCTCATAATCCAAAAACGCGATCTTTTCACATTTTTTCAGGTACAACGTTCCGTGTATTATTTCTAGTGTTTCAATCATTATTATTTAACTTTGCTGCAAATCTTTTTTTATTATTAAACTTGACGCATGCTTTTATTTTCCCTCTTCGTCAAAGACAGCGAACGCACCATTGGTCTGGAGCCCAAAGAAAGTCATTGGTCGGTAATTGCTACTTCACAGAGTCGAGGCATCACAGGTTAAACAGTCATTTTAGTTTTGAAAATGGGAAATTTACAGTGCTTTTTATTGACACAAGAACAACAATAATGATTACAATTTTACTGAATAAAGTTAAAGGTGCATTATGTGACTTTTGTTGCGTAGGTCAACACTGTGCTGATCCATAGCCATAGCAATAGACATACATTAGCTTTTCCATATAACGTTTTTCCAATGTCTGCTAAAAAAAAGTTGAATCTTTCTTTGTAATTGTAATCTTGATTTAAAGCTGGGCTACCTAACTTTCAAACCATAAACAATAAAAAAGGTAATAAATTCCAACTAGTTTCTTTATCACTATTTACAGTCTACGGTTTTCATATGCATGTATTTTGGCCTCTAACATATCTTTAGATCAGCTTTATCAGACAGAAAAGTGAAACGAAGAGGACCACCCTAACTCAGCCAATCAGCTTTCATCCTGAAGCGTCAAATTGTGACTCACAGGGCTCTCTCGTAAGTCTGCAAATGATAAAATACTTGCTAATAAGATGAAGACAGGATTTTGAGGTTGGCTTTGTTCACAACTTTTAGCCTTTTACGTAACTCTAATTATTGGGAAAAAATGTATTATCATTCAGTATTCATGAAACTAAAAAGTTAGGTTCCCCAGCTTTAAGTATCGTAACTACCGGACAATTAGCCACTTCGTCATTAATGCTCTTTGAACCCTGAATTCGTTACAGCAGTGCAGCTAATGCATGTATTACTAGTGTAGTATAATATCTCCAGGGCGCAAGACAGAATTTGGAAACCACTCTTTCAGCTGAGGTTTATGTTTATGTGAACAGGAGAGAGACAACAAAGAAAAGACCTTTAATTATTCTGACTCTAATAAGTTTAATAACTATAGGGTGCACGTTTACCATTGAAACAGATTGGTACATGACTCTTGGAAGCTAACAGCTAAGCTAAGTATGCTAACACTGCACTGAAACTTCTTAAATTGTGTTTTTTTCCAGTTAAAACATTTGTCGAGCAGTTATTGGTTAAGTCTTACATTACAACATGAAAACCTGAACAAAATGTACTGTCTTTAAATGTTAGCTAGTGCGGTTTGTACAAAGGTTAGCTCGATAATCCAGCAAGTAGTTGGGTTGAAGTATTGTTTATTTTTGTTTGTCCCGCTTTAGGACACTTATAGTTTATTTTCCTGATGTAACGTTGATTCAATTGTCAAACTAAAATGATATTCTATTTGTGTTGTGTCAAATATTTAAAAGAATTGCCTATAGAGAACCCATAATAGAAAGCCTATTATTAGCCTTCACTTGTTAGCGTGAATTGAATTGTAACATTCTAGTAACATTACACAAAAACAAGCTATTGTCTTCATTCTCAGTTAAAACGTTCTTATCAACTTACGCCCACTCTGTTTATGAAGATAATACAATATCAGGGCTATACCATAGTTGCTCACATGAGTTTTTTGGAAAGATTTAGCCCCTTTTTCTTTGCTCCTTTCATTTTTACACCCACAAACCACACATTGCACCTTTAACCCCTAACACTTGTGCAACAATGAACAAAATAATAAATAGAAGTTTAAATAATGTGCTTGAATAAATAAATAAAAACATAAAAAAACACTTTTATTTGAACGAGTCACTAGTGCTATACTACTTCCACCACAGATTGGCCAGTCGCTTCTATTGACATTAGCCTTTCTAGGTAACAACATCTGTCCGTCTATGTCAGTGTATATTGCTTGAACTGCCCTTAGAATTTAGACCGTTTTTTAACAAGCTTCAGAAAAGCGAAACCAAGATATTTTCCATTGAACTCCATACGAAATTAATCAACCCACAGCAAAAAAAACGTCTTTTAGAACATTCCCGGCCTCAACTTCTTTGCCTTCTGTTTGTGAGATTCAGCTAATTCTGGAAGCATTTCGCTCACGCTTTCCAAACCGTTGTGGCTGCGTATCTCCTCATCACGATGCTTATTTATATTATACGTATATGTCTACACGCATATTTCAATGGACGTGGCCACCAGGAGGCGCCCTCGCTCATTGTTTTCCCTGTTCACCCGGTCGTAGCTAGCGTTAGCCGGCGGCGAGTTGGTAGCAGAGGAGTAGTGCGTGTCCATCATTAGCCGGTCTTTCGCGGCTGTGGACAAGCTCTGCTGTTTGAGTCTGTCCACCAAAACGTCTTCTTCTGACGAGGACGTGCTCATGTCAATTTGGGGCGTGCTGGTCGCTAACCCGGTGTTGCTAACATTCCCGTTTTCCGTATCCAGCATCCAGCATTGGTTGAAGTAGCTGAACACCTCTTTGACGGAACACCGGCGCTCCTGGTCGATGGAGAGCAAGCGGCGAAACATGCGCAAAGCCTCGTCCGTGAATCTCCTCCACTGCGACGGCACGTTCCCGCTGCGGCGTCTCTGCCAGCGCACAAACTCGTCGTAGAAGGCGTCGTTGGGCATGGCCTTCTCCCACGGGAAGTTTCCGGTGAGCATGCAGAAGAGGAGCACGCCGAAAGCCCAGACGTCGGTGCTGTAGTCCACGCAGAAGCCGTCGTTCCGGGAGGTGTCGCAGAGCTCGGGCGCGGTGTAGGGGATGGTGCCACTGACGCGCTTCACGGGGGAACCTGCGCGCCGCGTCATGCCGAAGTCCGACAGTTTGACTTTGCGGCACTCGCGGTCGAAGATGAGGATGTTCTCGGGCTTGATGTCGCGGTGCACCAGCTTCTTGCAGTGGAGGTAGTCCAGGGCAATGGCCACCTGGTGCACGCAGCGCTTCGCCACCGCCTCCGGGAGACCCACCTGCACGGGACCAGATCAGAATCAGAATCAGAATTATTCTCATTGCCGTTATGAATAAACCAAGAAATAGATGTGACTCTCGGTGCAAACAGAAAAAAAAAAAAAAAGGGAAAAATAGAATCTACAAAGCATTTCTTAAAAATAGAGGACGAGCGAGAGAAAGTAATGAGTAATTTCTAAAAAGTACTGATTTTAAAGCTGGGCTCCCTAACTTTTATATTTTAAAAAATGTAACTATAAATGTAAAAAAATCCATTGTTTGTTGCTTTCAAAACAGTTCTAACACTATACAGTTGCAGGTATTACTTGGCCTCCGTCACAACTTTAGATCAGACTGAAAAGTGAGAAAAAGAAGAGCCTCATTCAGCCAATCAGCTCTCAGCCCAAAGCGACAAAAAGTGACTCACAAGGCTTTTTCTTACAAATTTACAAACGTTTTTCTAATAAGAAGCAGACAGCATGTTGTGGTCGTTACACAACTCTCTCTGTTGGGACAATTCAAATGTATTATTCATGGAGAAAAGTTTTAGGTACCCCAGCTTTAAAACATTTCGGATCAGAGTCTGTTGGAGTGAGCTTCAACACTACAATCATTGGTGAAAATGTACATTATATATATGTAAACAATTTTTACGAATGCATTTGACTTTATTTATTATTCTAAATTCAGTTTCTATTTTAGTCGTGGCTTGGCGCTATCGATGATGGTTCTGCTTTAAAAAAAAAAAAAAGAAATTATGATTAGTTATAGTTTATTGTTCAATGAAGTGAGAAGTACTTTGCCAGAGTTGTAAACGTGATAATGTTATGTCATTGCTATCTGTTTCCTAAAGTGTTATGTGTGTAATTCTAATCCACATGGAGGTTGTTGAAGTAAATTGGGACTTATCTGATATGTACAATCCAAATAATACATTTGTAAATCTCTTTGGATGCGATAATCCTAATCTATTGTCAGTTTTGTTTTTCTAACACGTGAGATGACACAGAACACCATGTTATGTAAAAGCACGATGGAGGATTTTCATATAAATGAGACGTAATGTTGATGATTTCAATACATTTCAAGATCTTGTGTCTACAATAAAAGTTAAGTTCTTATGCTTTAGAAATTATAGATTATATACAACATTCACAAATGAGATAATGATGTTTTTTACCTTTTTAAAACAGTACAATTCAGGTGCAGGGCCCTTAAAGCTGGGATAAAAACTATTATCTTGTTTCATAAATAATCAAATTTTGGATTTTTCCTGATCAAGTGAGTAAGAAAGTAAGGTTTAATTAGGTAGCGCATTTTTACAGACCAAGGTCACCCAAAGTGCTTTACAATTGCTCAGAGTTCCGATAGTTTTGCCATTCTCTCCACACGGTGATGACAGAAGCGAGTCGCCGAGCACACTGGCGCAGACACGGGGAGAACATGCAAACTCCACTCAGAAAGGCCCTGCTCCGACCGGGATTCGAACCCAGGACCTTCTTGTCGAGAAGCGAGAGTGCCATCCGCTCAGCCACTGTGCCGCCCAATCTTGAAAAATGTTTTGAACCAAAATCCGATCACAACCAGCTTTCTTCATCTTATGTTATTTAATGCATACTACTAGTTTAATTACAAAGTTAAAATCCCAACTATGTAATGTAAGTGTTTCAAATATGCGCGTGTTCGAACCTGCGGGGGAATGATGTCGAAGAGGTCCCCGGCCGGAGCGTACTCTTGGGCAAAGATGTAGTAGTCGTCGGTCTCGAAGGCGATTCCGAACATGTTGATGATGAAGGGGCAGGGCGACAGGTACAGAGACACGCTGTACTCACGCAGGAAACTCTTCAGCTTCGTCGTCTTCTTTCGCAAAAACTTCAACGCCATTTTGGTTCCTGCGAATCGAGATGGAGGAGAATGATTATAGGCAAAGAAATGATGAACGTTTTACTTCATAGTTTATGTACACAGCAAAAAGTGATGAAAACTACGTCAAATATTTGCTCAAATTTGGCAAAATGTAAATTAATTTGAGCACATTCTCATTAGATTTGCCAATGAGACCAAGCAAAATGATCTTGTTTTGAAAAGACACAAGAAACAGTTATTGAAATAAGACTAAATGGATTTGTCCAATTGGCAAATCTTTTCAGAATATACTCAAATTAAGTGTGTGTGCATAAATCTTTGAGAACCCAATATGCAAGGTTTTGTTGGACTCTTCTCAATAGGATATCAGGCTAATGTTATGTGGCCCGCCCCCCCCCCCCCCCCCCCCCCCCCCCCCCCCCTCTCTCTCTCTCTCATCCCAGCCACGTCCTGGGGCAGTTGCCACGCCTATCTCCGCCGTTCTAACTAATGGGCCAAAAAATGTGCTCTACTGGAGCAATCCAAAATGGCCGCGAGTGGTCCCACCCACAAGAAAATTGTGAAAAAACGCATCTGCGCATGCGTCAGCCGGCACAACTCCATTCATTTGAACGAGAGACTTCAAAAATTCACAGCGAGTAAACTAGAGTGGACCAAAAAAATTCACCCCCCTCAGCATTGACACACATGTGGAACGGAGCTTTGGGCCAAGAGCCAACTTTTGGTCCATCCTGTAAAGACGTTTTTACAATTAGCCAATGCTATATGTTAGCATTGGCTAATTCTTCTTCTGGGTCCACCCCCATCGGCCCGGGGTGGTATTGCGAGCATGTCAGTGCACGTCATTTTGGCCACTTTTGAGCCGGGACCCGCCCCCACTGGTCTCAACACGTACATATACACGAAAGGTTTTTATATTGATTCTCATTCGCATCGCTCGCTCCACAGCTCATCACTCACTTACAGAACATAACAACAGAAACATTCTCATTCAACACTCAAACATACACATAAGGTTGTAAACCTGCTGTAAGTAACATATTGTGACGAAATAAAACCACAACAGGCTCTCTTCATCTTATTAAAAACAGTGTTATTTTGGGAATATTTATAAGAAAGAGCCTTGTGAGTCACTATTAGACCTTTTGGGCAGAACGAGAATGGTCTTTTTTTCAATGGGTTTTTTCACATCTCTGTTTGTAAAAGCGTGACAGAATCTACAAAGTACATCAAAATAAACACTAGTGATAGAACCAAACTGTGCTGCGACGATTCAATTCAATTCACTTTCGTATTGTCCCAAATCACAACAAACAGTAGTTATCCCGGAGGACTTTACAAAACCGTTGAATTTGCCAACACGGGTCAGAGTTTTTAATAAACACGAGATAGAAAACACATAGAGCCATTGGTCCATAAGGGGCCAATGTCCATAAATATTGTTGAATGTCGAGTGTCCTGGATTTTTATTGAAGAAATTAACTAAAAAAACACATTATAATTATAATCCAGCTTGGGTCGAGTAAACATTTGTGTCTGCTAATTGCCTGTGTGAAAGTCTATTACAATCGCCGCAAAATTAATGAAAATAATAACACCACAGACGTTTTCCGTTGGTTCTTTATATTATTAAATGGCGGTGATTTGCTGGAGGCTGGGTTTTGAAGTTCTAATTACATCTGCAGAGGAGATTGGGTTGAGAAAAATCGTCTGCGCTCCGGAAACCACTTCTCTCACTGTAATAATTGAACGTTGCATAAAAGCAGCGTTTAGTGACAACATGGAAAAGCAATTTGCCCTGACCAGCTCTGGAGACTTGGATGACCTGCTCTGCTCTCCTACAGCGGGAAATGTACTGCAGGCACAACGAATAATCAAAACCACATTTTAAACCACAATTGAAAAATGTTATAGAAGTAGTTTGTTTAGGGGATGAGTTGGAAATTCTATAAAAACAGGATGACACAATAGATTTGAACTTTTTTTGCAGACGCAACAATTGCAAAGTATTTCAAATTAGATCATTATATTGTGTACTTTTTAAAATAGTAAAATTCAGGTACAGGCTCTTTAAATGTACACTCATAATAATTTTTACTGCTGAAATTATTCTACAAAATGGGACGGCACAAGAGATATTTCAACATACAGTGGGGCAAAAAAGTATTTAGTCAGCCACCAATTGTGCAAGTTCTCCCACTTAAAATAATGACAGAGGTCTGTAATTTTCATCATAGGTTCACTTCAACTGTGAGAGACAGAATGAGAAAAAAAAATCCAGGAATTCATATTGTAGGATTTTTAAAGAATTTATTTATAAATTATGGTGGAAAATAAGTATTTGGTCAATAACACAAAGTCAAGTCAATGGAAGGTTTTGGCTCAAAATCTCACGATACATGGCCCCATTCATTCTTTCCTTAACATGGATCAGTCGTCCTGTCCCCTTAGCAGAAAAACAACTAAAGAAGAAGTTACAGGTCTGTGAGAGCCAGAGATCTTCCTTGTTTGAAGTGACCAAATACTTATTATCCACCATAATTTACAAATAAATTATTTAAAATTCCTACAATGTGAATTCCTGGATTTTTTTTTTCACATTCTGTCTCTCACAGTTGAAGTGTACCTATGATGAAAATCACAGACCTCTGTCATTATTTTAAGTGGGAGAACTTGCACAATCGGTGGCTGACTAAATACTTTTTTGCCCCACTGTATATTGTATTGTATACATAATACATGCTCCTAAAAATTAGAAAATACAAAAAACATTAAATAAACATTTATCGACAGTAGTCATCCCGCTCCCGGGATTATTGTATTTCCAGCATTCAAACGGTTTGATTTCCTAATCTGTTTTTGAGGAGTTGACAACTTAATATAGTAGTTCAAGACGACTGTTGTTGTGATTGAGGGCTATAAAAATATTTGAATTGAATAGTGTTAAAAAAGAAACAGCCACACCCAATCTCCACAAAACATTGCAAATATATCAGGTCTACTGTGATTCATTTTCATATCTTCAAAAGTGATGGTTTTCGGTGTGATTTCATTTACAAGTCAAATGACTTTTCGAATCTGCTTTGCATAATCAAGCAGCATAGTAGGAACTGAATATTGATTCAAAATAAATACAAGAAACTAAATCCTCTACACACTCAAAAACTGCGTATTCCAATATTTTCCCGGTGTTGCTCGGAGCCGACAGAAGCCCAGACAGAGGCCGTGTTTTTGGGGAGGCAGCAGAGAGGAGATGGAGCAGGACGTTTCTCCAATATCACGGCTTCAGCTCGTCATCGGTGCCTTTTTACCCTGAGCCGGCGCTTTGGGAGAGGGCAGAGGAGGGCAGAGGAGGGCAGCGGCTGTGGGGCCCAAGCCAAGAGACAGAGGGGACCGTTAAAGGGGAAAGGCGAGATGGACCGATGTATCAGGAGGGTGTGAGGACAGTGATGACCCGGGACGTTTATGGACAGGACTCTACACACGCACTGCTATAGTCACTTTTAAGTGAATTGTACAGAATATATCTTGAACAAGAGAGACTATTGTTTCACTTTTTTAACATATTGCACATTCCCTGTCTTTTGCACACCCTGAGTGATCCTATTTAAAGTAGCAAGATGTAAGATTTTCATGTCAAGTCATCATTAAAGGGCCCTAATCTGTCAAAAGGCATTAATAAATCATGCTCTTTTCCAATACTTCTTTAACTGATAACAGTAGTTCAGTCTCCTTCAGCCCCTAGATCTTGTTATTGTTTTCATTTCAAAGTCCCGCCCTCCCCCGTTTAACCAATCAGAAAGTCCGTGATTGCCAGAACTCACACATCGAGCTAATCTCACTGGTAAAGTAACATGTGGCAAAAACAAGGAATAAAACCAGGATTTCTATCGGGGATGTCTTTGTGAAGGTGTTGGTTATAGATTTGCTGTTAACAAAACTCTCTATTCTCTCGATTATATGGTCCCAACTGGGGGCCTGTATTTTCTAGTTTTGTTCAGCATTTTGAGTCGCCTTGTGTCTGAACTGTGCTATACAACTAAACTTCCCTCGCCTCGCCAAACGCACCATATTGTTCCGTATTAAACTGTCATAATGTTTTGCTCGATGTGTAAATCCGCTCCAGTTTCTCTAATTGTCACTTTCTCTGCAGTATCGACGAGCGTGACACCTCGGCCTCGCTCCCCGCAGAGAAGAATGCGGCGTTTGACACATTCACACAAACTAAATATAAAAACTGCCTCTTTTTCCTCAGACTTGCTATTTTTACCGGTGCAGCGTTTTTCTTCTGCAGCGAGACTCCTGCTGTTCAGGTAACGAGGAAAAGAGACGCTTTCTAAAGAGATTGTAGCAGCGTTTGGAGTAATAATAGGTCTGTACAAGTGTGTAATGCGGTGTTATGTGTAGAATACCTTTTCAACGTTATGAGAGCAGATGCAAAGGAATTAGCGCTAGGAATACCAGAAATTCTAAGAAAATTGGCCGCAAAATATTAATTTTTTCACTAGTTTTACTACCAAATACAATAACTTTATCTATATACAGATTTGGAAATTTCTCAAGGCATAAATCTATGTCTGTGTCTGCAGCCAGCATTTTTCAATGTCAGAAAAAACATAATAATTAAACTTCTCCCTCTGGTGGTAGCATTGGGCAATACAGGCGGAAAGCATTTTTAAACCTTCATACTTATGTTTTCTACTTTAGATATTATGTCACATCCTAAAACATGAAAACCAAGTAAATAGTCCGATTATAATTTAAAAGTGAAAAAAATAATACATAATATTTCTGCTTTAAGATTTGTGTCGGACTCAGAGAAGAAGACTAGGTATGAGATATGGTAACACAACACACACCAACACCGTGTATCAACATTTATCAAATTATAAAATAGGATTCTATGTTTATCATGATTTATATTGTTTATATTAATAATTGGAATACTGTAGAATCACTTAGCCCTAAATCACAACAGTATCTCAGAGAACTTAACAAAACCCTTGAATTTGCCAATACAGATCAGAGAATGAAACACACAACACAAGAAACGCGATGATAACAAAACGCACAGAGCCATTGGTCCATAAGAGGCAGATGACCAATGTCCATAAAAGACGTCCGTAGATGCTTTCCTGTATGTTTTGTATTGGAATGATCCCTTTGTGTGTTTGACTGGAAGTGTGAACCATGTGGCAAACCAAAACGCACAACCAGCAAAAGTAATGGCTTTGGTAGATATGGGGAGCAACACCTTCTGCTGATACCAACTGACACTCCCCTTTGCACATTTGATATATTTGATTAACATAATGGGTTCTGTAGTCTGAGCAGGGAGACAGGATGTTAGATCTTTGTAGAAACAGGCCTGGAGGGAAAGTTTTTGGCTCAGCTCTAGGGATATGGTATGGTATGTACTGTAAGTAAGTAAGTAAGTAAGCTTTATTTATATACCACCTTTCACAGAGCAGAGTCACAAAGCGGTTTACAATTGTTATTTTATGGGCACTTGTGCTCTCACTCCACACAGAGATGGGAGCGGGGTCGCCGAACAGGAGGCGCATGCCAGACCTATTGTACATATTTTTAGTGGTAGGGGAAACCGGAGTACCCGGAGGAAACCTACGCAGACACGGGGAGAACATGCAAACTCCACTCAGAAAGGCCCTGGTCCGGCCGGGATTCAAACCCAGGACCTTCTTGCTGAGAGGCGAGAGTGCTATCCACTCAGCCACTGTGCCCAAACAAACAGGGACAGTGTACAATTAAACATTAACACAAGGGAGAGATGCATTGTACCAGGTTATAGCAAAGATAATTTCCACTTGTAGTCCCCGGGCAGGATGATGTTATATATTCATATAAACTGATTCTACCGATAGATGACCGTGGCTCACACTTACAGACATTAAATAACATCATTTACCAAACATTTAATTCAATACCAATCATAATACATTTCCCCAATTTCTACTATAATATTACCCTCACTCACTCACTACTAGTTAGAGACATAGGAGCTCAAAGAGTTTGTATCAGTACGTCAGAGTAATGAAATTTAAATATTATTTGGGTTGAACTCTTCCTTCTTGGTTAAATCTGAATTATGCTACCAACTCAAGAGTATTTCGATAACTGTTGTTTTATGAGGTTTAAAAGAGGAACAACAGTAAAAAAAAAAAAATCTATTTCCTATTTTGCTCTGGAACATTTGTGAGCAGTGGATGATCCTCTCTCGCTGCTGTAACTGCGTCTGGTGATTCATTCTCTGTGCTCACCGCTTATGACAGGAGCCTCTCGGTGCAGTCTGTTCTCAAGTGTATTTCAGAGAGGAGCAGACTGAAAAAAAACACCAATTATATAATGGCTCAGACTCAACAGTTTGAGGAAGAGGAAATGGGAGAACAAGCAGATGGGCCTACAGACCTGGGCTTGTGTCAGCTCATTATGGCTTCTTATAAAACGGTTGGACTTAATGCTTGAAAAACGAAGTGAAGTGGTGTAGACAATAGGGAAAAGAAGGGAGTGGATCGAGTGGGACACGGAGGAGGAGGAGAGGTCCTGCCTGAACTGGAGAGGTTCAAGTGTCTCAGGGTCAAGGACGGAGACAGCGTAGTGACTGTGGAGAGGGAGCAGCGTCTGCAGTCAGAGCTGTGTCAGACTGGAGAGAAAGCAGCGTCTGCAGTTAGAGCTGTGTCAGACTGTGAAGAGGGAGCAGCGTCTGTAGTCAGAGCTGTATATGACTGTGAAGAGGGAGCAGCGTCTGTAGTCAGAGCTGCGTCAGACTGTGGAGAGGGAGCAGCGTCTGTAGTCAGAGCTGTATATGACTGTGGAGAGAGAGCAGCGCCTGTAGTCAGAGCTGTATCAGACTGTGGAGAGGGAGCAGCGTCTGTAGTCAGAGCTGTATCAGACTGTGGAGAGGGAGCAGCGTCTGTAGTCAGAGCTGTATCAGACTGTGGAGAGGGAGCAGCGTCTGTAGTCAGAGCTGTATCAGACTGTGGAGAGGGAGCAGCGTCTGTAGTCAGAGCTGCGTCAGACTGTGGAGAGGGAGCAGCGTCTGTAGTCAGAGCTGTATATGACTGTGGAGAGAGAGCAGCGCCTGTAGTCAGAGCTGTGTCAGACTGTGAAGAGGGAGCAGCGTCTGTAGTCAGAGCTGTGTCAGACTGTGGAGAGGGAGCAGCATCTGTAGTCAGAGCTGTGTCAGACTGTGGAGAGGGAGCAGCATCTGTAGTCAGAGCTGTGTCAGACTGTGGAGAGGGAGCAGCGTCTGTAGTCAGAGCTGTATATGACTGTGGAGAGAGAGCAGCGCCTGTACTCAGAGTTGTGTCAGACTGTGAAAAGGGAGCAGCGTCTGTAGTCAGAGCTGTGTCAGACTGTGGAGAGGGAGCAGCATCTGTAGTCAGAGCTGTGTCACATTGTGGAGAGGGAGCAGCGGCTGTAGTCAGAGCTGTGTCAGACTGTGGAGAGGGAGCAGCGTCTGCAGTCAGAGCTGTGTCAGACTGTGGAGAGGGAGCAGCATCTGTAGTCAGAGCTGTGTCAGACTGTGGAGAGGGAGCAGCGGCTGTAGTCAGAGCTGTGTCAGACTGTGGAGAGGGAGCAGCATCTGTAGTCAGAGCTGTGTCAGACTGTGGAGAGGGAGCAGCGTCTGCAGTCAGAGCTGTGTCAGACTGTGGAGAGGGAGCAGCGCCTGTAGTCAGAGCTGTGTCACATTGTGGAGAGGGAGCAGCGGCTGTAGTAAGAGCTGTGTCAGACTGTGGAGAGGGAGCAGCGTCTGTAGTTAGAGCTGTGTCAGACTGTGGAGAGGGAGCAGCGGCTGTAGTCAGAGCTGTGTCAGACTGTGGAGAGGGAGCAGCATCTGTAGTCAGAGCTGTGTCAGACTGTGGAGAGGGAGCAGCGTCTGCAGTCAGAGCTGTGTCAGACTGTGGAGAGAGAGCAGCGCCTGTAGTCAGAGCTGTGTCACATTGTGGAGAGGGAGCAGCGGCTGTAGTAAGAGCTGTGTCAGACTGTGGAGAGGGAGCAGCGTCTGTAGTTAGAGCTGTGTCAGACTGTGGAGAGGGAGCAGCGGCTGTAGTCAGAGCTGTGTCAGACTGTGGAGAGGGAGCAGCGTCTGTAGTCAGAGCTGTGTCAGACTGTGGAGAGGGAGCAGCGGCTGTAGTCAGAGCTGTGTCAGACTGTGGAGAGGGAGCAGCGGCTGTAGTCAGAGCTGTGTCACATTGTGGAGAGGGAGCAGCGTCTGTAGTCAGAGCTGTGTCAGACTGTGAAGAGGGAGCAGCGTCTGTAGTCAGAGCTGTGTCAGACTGTGGAGAGGGAGCAGCGTCTGTAGTCAGAGCTGTGTCAGACTGTGGAGAGGGAGCAGCATCTGTAGTCAGAGCTGTGTCAGACTGTGGAGAGGGAGCAGCGTCTGTAGTCAGAGCTGTATATGACTGTGGAGAGAGAGCAGCGCCTGTAGTCAGAGCTGTGTCAGACTGTGAAGAGGGAGCAGCGTCTGTAGTCAGAGCTGTGTCAGACTGTGAAGAGGGAGCAGCGGCTGTAGTCAGAGCATGGTATTAACATGGTTATCTTACAATGGTTTGCTATAGAAGAACCAGATAACTTTTATACCAAGTGTATGTAGTCAGAGCTGTATACAACTGTTGTGGTGAGGAGGGAGCAGCGTCTGCAGTCAGAGCTTTAGGCAGGCTAATCTCGTCTTCTTGGTAAAACACAGTTATTTGTTTTTTTCTTACAGCTACTTTACAATCGATTGGTATAGAAGTGCCCGACGTTCCAGACACATAAGCATGGACGGCGCTAAACACAACTCAAGATCTGCTTTTGAGGGGGTTAGCATGTTGTCCCAGACTGGAGAAGTGGTTTTCCTTGACGATGGAACCTCAAAAGACCGTGGTGATGATCCAGGACCCTCGACATTCAACAACATTCATCATCTGTCCCTTTATGCAGCTTTTTCTATTATTAACATTATTATGGCATTTCTTTTGTTTGAACTGTTTGATTCTCTGATCTGTGTTGGAGAATTCAACGGTTTTGTTAAGTCCTCCGAGAAAAACTCCTGTTGTGATTTAGGGCTACACAAGAATACATTGAATTGAATTGGTAAAAAACTAGAAAACGACATATTTACCTCTGAGTTTGTGCACCACCAGATCCACTTTGCCGTAGGTGCCCTTGCCCAGCTCTCGCACCACCTCGTAGTACTTATGGATGTCCACTCGCTCCAGGTTCTGGGCGGCGATCAGCTGCAGCTCGTCCAGGATGTCCACGGTGGAAGAGGAGGAGGAGGAGGAAGAGGAGGAGGAAGAGGAGGAGGTGGAGGAGGAGGAGGGAGAGGAGCGCGACGGCTGCAACAAGGAGTTCATGGCTTCACGGCTGAGGCAGGTCCTGCAGAGAGAGGGAGGATTTTAATTTGGGATAGATTTGGATAGATTTGAAGCCAAGACTCTTATGTAACTTTGCATTGTGTGAAAATGACCAATAATAATAATAATGTCTGTGTGTGAGGCGTTAAAACAAGATTTCCATCTAAAAAAGACAACTTTGGATTCAGATTTCTTGCCATTTGCAGTAAAACCACATTGGAATACAGCAAAAAGTGATAAAAATGAGGTTATATCTGCTTGAATCGAGTTTACTTTTCTTGATTTGATCACATTCTGTCTATTTAGATATTATGGTCCCAGCTGGATTCGTCTGCATATCTGGCAACCTGAGTCAGGGAGAGTCTGAGAGGTTGCAGTACCACTTTTGGCCAGATTTTTTCCATACTGTTTCTTTAAGGCAGTCAAAATGTACCAAATTTTAGCAAGTTTTGAAGTGTATTGCAGCACAGTAAGTACAACATCGATCCATTCTCATTTCACATTGTGTTATCGACCCACTCTACACATGAATGACATAACCGACCATTTACACCGATCCAAACAGTACAAATTAAGTGGTAAGTAAGAAAAGGCGAGCGTTAGAGACCAGAAGTGCACTGTGGCAGCTGGTCATCCCACTGGTCTCCCATCACGATCGATAAATTATGTGAAGACGACATATGTGTGTAATGTAACTGTGCGGCAGAGGGTTCAGCAGATTTACATACATGCACACTCAGATCATGTTATTATATATTTCTACTGTTTAAATGAATCCAAGGGTGATCTAAATATTTCATTTCATTTCATTTCATTTTTTATTTATTTCAATTGTTCTGAATATTCTTTCATTTTTACATGTTTACATAAAATAATACTAGTAGTCAGACAATTGAAAAGGAGCACAAAGAAGACAAACTTATATTATGTGCCCCTTTCTCCAAAAAAACAAACAACATTTTTCAAGATGGTCTGATGTAACAACACATCAGTCACAAAGAAATAACAAATACAAAACATGCCACAAGCAGGGTTTGCTCATCAAAACAAATAATCCTCTTTCATTTAATTTCCAGTTCATATGATTTAATTATTGTTTCCTTGAATATTTGTTTAAACTGAAAAATATTTGTGGAGTTTTTTAAAGTGTCTTTCATGGAGTTCCACAGCTTGACTCCAGCCACTGAGATAGCCATCCGCTTCTGGGTGGTACTGGCAAAAGGAAGAATAAAGTTAAGTTTGTGTCGGAGACGAGAGTCTGATTTAAACGAAAATAGTGTTTGTACAGTTTGAGGCAACAAATGGTGTCTTGCCTTATACATTATTGTAAGTGTTTGGGTTTTTATAAGGTCAGGTACCTTTAGCAATTTGGATGTTATGAATAATGGGTTAGTGTGCTCTCTCCCATGGACTTTATGAATGGCTTTTATTGCTTTCTTTTGTAACGTTATCAAAGGCTTCAGTGTGGTTACATACGTATTTCCCCAAACTTCCAAACAATAAGAAAGACATGGCAATATTAATGTAAAATATAATATCCTCAGAGCTGTATAAGTTAAAAAATATTTCACTTTGTGAAGGATAGAGTATAATATAGTATAACAGATCGGAACATTGGAACATTGGAAAGGAACAAAGAAATGATGAATGCATGAAATAATTACAATATCTCTGCTTGAAATGTATGGATTTTCTTTACAGCGAAGGTTCTCATTTCAGTCACAACCACTGAAAATAAGTTTGTATGTAGTTATTTATCTATTTCAATTGTGGCAATGACAATACCTAATACATACTACAATTACATTTTCAAATTTTTTTTTGTTCTGTCACACAAATTAATTTATTGTTGTAAAATGAAGTTAAAGATTTGGATTAAAATCTCTTCACAGATAGATTTGTCTGTTGTGTGTTTTGTGTTCATAGACATTTGTTGATGATGGTCTTTGTGTGTTTTCCTCTCTGCGTCTGCTCTTCTCTCCTGAAGCCAAAATCTCACGGTTCAGAACTGAGTGTTTTTTTCACTGCTCTAAAATTCTCCCGGATCAATAGCTCCGTGAGTTTGTTATAACTCGCTCCGGCCAATGACAAAGCAGGACTTTCAGGGGGTGTATTTAAGCTTGGGTGATTGGCCAAAGTAGTAACAATTTTTCACGAAAGAAACAAAACGCAAATTCTCAAAGTTATCAGACATCATCGCAGTATGGACTTCACACTAACTATAATCACAGATGCGGCTGTAAAGTACAAAACTGTCCTTGTGTCCTTAGGCAAGACACCACCCACATGAGTCTGGTGTGTGTGCGTGTGTGTGTGTGTGTGTGTGTGAGTGGTTGGTGGTGGTCGGAGGGGCTGATGGCACATACTGGTTGCCTTGCTTCTGTCAGTGTGCCCCAGGGCAGCTGTAGTAGTTAGTAGTAGTTTGTCACCGCCGTGTATGGAGTGAATACATAATGACAAGTGAAGCCTCTTTGAGTGTCCAAAACAGATGCATTACTATTGTTATTCCATTGTTTTTATTTATGACAAAGTCGTCTTAAAAACGTCTTTGTAAAATTGTGAAACTAGAAAAATACTTTTATATAAAATCAAAACACAATTTGAAATAGAGAACCTAAAAATCTGCTGCGCTCTCTCTGCTCCACAACCATCCTTCTCCTCAGAAGTTAAAGCTTAATTATGTGAATGCTAAGTCACTTTTATCTCAACAGTTCGTTAGAGAAAGATCGTAAAGTCCATTCGTTCAACCGGAAAGATGACAATTCTGTGCAACTTGTAACTTTTTCACAAACTCTGAACTCAAGGCAAAAAGTTTCTGCTTTCATAACTATGGATGAACTCAGAGTGAAGAAGGAGCCAGCAGCAGTTTTTACCACATGCTCTGACCCAGTTTTTTAACCAAAACAGTTTCAAACTTGCACACGGGACAATAATATTAACCCGCTCCCATATCAGCATCTTTAAACATATTCAGTGTATCCACATTAACACAGATGGGGGCAGCAGGGTTTTGGATTGGTCTGTTTTTGTTGAAATAGTTACTGAGTGAAAGGACAAATTATGAGTTATTTTAGCTCCATTGGAAACTTAAGAATAATTGGGGACTTCAGGTATAAATTGGCACAAACAGGTCCTCCCACCTCCCCCCACCCCTTATCGCTCCAACTTTCCAACTACCTAAACTATGGAAAAGTAAGATTATACATTATTTTTGGCGTGTAAAAAAAATATAATGAGATTATTTACTTTTTTATCATTTTTGTCATTTTATGTTATACTCGCTCACTCACACACACACACACACACACACACACACACACACACACACACACACACACACACACACAAGGGGAGGGGAGGAGGAGTCACAGGACGAAGAACGATAAAAACACACACACACGCTCTGGTGACTTCAGCGTAAAAGAGATTAATGACTCAGATAATTATATAATAACAATGTGTGTAAGTGTTTTTGGCCGAAGTTCTTACTGTGAAAGGTGTTCTCCAGGGACTTCATTTTAGCTTTAATTTCGTCAAATGTAAAAAATTCCATACTCACTGACTATTAGTTAGTTCGTCAGAAAGGTTTCTAAAGTACTGTACTTATGTGGCTGTATGGATGTGTCTCTGCTGCTGGAGGATCAATAAAGTATCTATCTAGTGTGCTGTTTACACTGAGACGTTGCGACAGGAAAACGGAAGAGTTGGAATCGATTTTGCTTTCTGTTTACATGGAGACGGCGTTTCAGGTGAAAACCCAAGCGTTGAGGAACAGAGTGGAGAACAGAACAGATTCACAGCCGCGTGAAGAAAAAGGTATGAATTTGGAGATGCGCAGAAGCCGAGAACAAACGTAAACAACAATTGCGGCGCATCAAGCAACTAGCTACATGTGCTTCGAGCGCTACACAGAGGAGAATTCTACTCCTTCGTTCGTCTAAACAAAACCATGCAAAGCTTTAGTTTCAGTTTCCATTTTTGCTGTTAACACGTTTTTCCGTTGTCGTGTGGAACCTGTGTACTTCGAATAAGGAGCCTTGTCGTTTTTGCTAACATCTTTGCTGCATCTTTGTCTAAACAGGGCCTAAATAACAACATGTACAGTGCCTTGCGAAAGTATTTGGCCCCCTTGAACCTTTCAACATTTTGCCACATTTCAGGCTTCAAACATAAAGATATAAAATTTTAATTTTTTGTCATGAATCAACAACAAGTGGGACACAATCGTGAAGTGGAATGACATTTATTGGATAATTTAAACTTTTTTAACAAATAAAAAACTGAAAAGTGGGGCGTGCAATATTATTCGGCCCCTTTACTTTCAGTGCAGCAAACTCACTCCAGAAGTTCAGTGAGGATCTTTGAATGATCCAATGTTGTCCTAAATGACTGATGATGATAAATAGAATGCACCTGTGTGTAATCAAGTCTCCGTATAAATGCACCTGCTCTTTGATAGTCTCAGGGTTCTGTTTAAAGCGCAGAGAGAACCATGAAGACAAAGGAACACACCAGGCAGGTCCAAGATACTGTTGTGGAGAAGTTTAAAGCTGGATTTGGATACAAAAAGATTTCCCAAGCTTTAAACATCTCAAGGAGCACTGTGCAAGCAATTATATTGAAATGGAAGGAGTATTAGACCACTGCAAATCTACCAAGACCCAGCCGTCCCTCCAAACTTTCATCTCAAACAAGGAGAAGACTGATCAGAGATGCAGCCAAGAGGCCCATGATCACTCTGGATGAACTGCAGAAATATTTATTATCCAATAAATGTCATTCCACTTCACGATTGTGTCCCACTTGTTGTGGATTCATGACAAAACATTAAAATGTTATATCTTTATGTTTGAAGACTGAAATGTGGCGAAATGTTGAAAGGTTAAAGGGGGCCGAATACTTTTGCAAGGCACTGTATCTATTTATCTACCTCTATATCTATCTATTTTTCTCTATCTCTCTCTATCCTTTCACCAAACTGAACACCTCATCAATTTACC